AAGCTAGACATTGACCATCAAATTTGGGAATGAAGCGCACAATAGCCTTTTGAATCAAGAGGCTGAGCCAACCTCTGCGTAGACCAGTTTCCGCCCTTCGATACTGATTTACTGTGATCCTTATATCTTAAGTACAAATATCCCTGTACACTAAATTCGCATTGGTTATACATTTTGAACCGGATTGTGCTGCAATTTGAGGTACGCTATTTTACATAAACATTAATTGTTCCCGAAGTACAAGTAAGTAGATTCTACAACATAACCGTATTTTATAGTCCTGGCCCTGAAATGGAGATCAGAGCTACCGAAACATTTCCCACACCTATATATAGGTGATGGAGTTATCGCCACAAAGCTTCTTGCAGACATGCCCATGAATCGAAAGTGAAGTGTGTTAATTTAGGTTAGGTAACGGTAGTCCCCATCCAGTACATTTTGTCGGATCTCTGAACGTCTCACGCGGTGCAACCAACATACCCAGAAAACGATTCAGAGGTATCACTGAACGCATACCGAGGGCCATTGAGCACCGTAGGCGCTGAGGGGCCAAGTCTCACATCCGAAAGATAACAACGTGGTATTGTAGACGTGTGCCGTTGGTAACAGTCGGACGTCATGGCGGTGCCAAAGATGCTTTAGCCAGGTCGGGTTATGCAATACTTGACGTGATCTCGCATCCTATGACATTTGAAACAAGAAGTAAGCAAAGATGTCTACCACTTTCAACCGTCCCCTGGTAAGGACGTCCGCCGCAACAAAGTGGCACCATTCCCGGTGAATCGCTTTAACGCAGAATAGAGTGAATTACGGAAAGAACTACCTCGATTGCCGACAGTTCTATATGGTTTGCTCTTTTAAACTCACTACCACTCGTGCAGTCCTCAATCTTCCAAAATTGGTATACGTCAGGATAACTAGAAGCCTCAAGATTGAGGATCAGTGATAGTTTCATAAGCAATAGAGTTCTAGAAAATTTGTACATGCTGTATGTAGGTAGAACGAGGTAAAAATGGACATAACTACGGATTAGTCGCGTTTGGCAGATTGAATGATAGCGAAAGGATATCACGGGAGTCAAGAGACAACGACAAAACTTTGAACACGAGCTAAAACCGAGATTTTGTATTTAATAATTCCAATTTTTAGTACGACGAGCAATATGACGGACGTATGGTTACGTGGTTCTATAATCTTTCATGGAGGCTCGTCGTGTAGTTTCTAAAACTGAGGAGCCGCGTAACATCCTAGCAAGATAAGTCATCCTGTGAGCCAGGGGAAATGGGAAACCGGTGAATTATGAATAATGAATGAATAATGGCAAGACGTTGAAATGGTGTGAATGCTATGGGAATCTCCGTGGTCTTAAACCTGGATCAATGTTCAGAAGGCATGTGATGAGAAACCTATTTTAAACAGCTTGGCTCTTATATAACAGAGAACAACGAATCGGTACCATGTTTACTTACGGGTTGCAGATTAACAAATGTTACCCTGTTCTTTCGTCGGTAGACATTGGATAGAAAATACTGCAGTTCACTAAACGACACGGAAGCGCTGCACCTTTAGGTCATTAGAAAACACTGTAGTACTTACTAGGAGCTCCGAACAATGAGACAGACGAAGTGGACGTGGTTGTGTTGGTACTAGCATTGGCAGCGGTAGCCGCAACGGACGAACCGAATATGGGCGTAGCCGTTGCAGGAGAGGAAGTATGGGTACCGAACAGACCGAATACAGAGGGAACCGTAGTTATTGTAGCGGCAGTTGTTGTAAGCGTGCTTGGAGCTGGTGAATTCACGGTCAAGGTGTCTGATTGGAACAGCCCGCCAGTTGAAGAAGTGGAACCGGTGGATGTGGGTGAGGCTGAAACGAAGCATGACTCGAATAGGAATGGTACGTAAACAGTAGGAATTTTGTGCAAGAAAATATAAAAATATCAACAACAATAACCGTTTCGCTTGAATCGCACTGTGAGTGTGCGAGCTAGTCATCGCGGACGATTATACGTACAGCAACATGATCAACCAACGATGGTTAGATGCGTGATACGAATCGGAATCACTGAAACTATTCTACATCCGTTCGGTTGTCACCGGGGCATGCATAAAATACTCCTGTATTGTGCGAAATCTACCACTTCATCCGAACCAAGCGCTAGACTAAACAAACAGACGATGCAAAGGCTTGATCCATGAAACCTACGGGATTGAAGCATTTCAGTGGGAGTGCAACAAATGGCCGCAAAGTATGTTTCAGTATAGCGTACATCAGCATGGTACTTGATATGTAAGCGGACGTATACGAATTAACCTTCAGTCACCACAATCCGTCAAACACGGTTTGATTTCTACTCGAAAAAAGCTAACAGTTATCAGACTTTATCAGAAGCATGTAACTTAAGACAACGTACCGCTTTGAGTTTTGCTTGCAGTACCAAACAGAGGCAAAGTGGGAGGGCTTGAGACAGCTATTGAGAATGCAGGATCGACCACTGATCGCGATTCACTATCAACAGGTTTTACCGTTCCGAATACAAGGCTCGTCTTTAGGTTGGTGCTGGTACCACTCAGAAGTGAACCCGCCGGAGGTGGTAATGAAGGTCCGGTTTGGCCAAACAGCTTCCCGGCGGAGGTAGCAGCTGCGGTGGAAAACGAGAATGCAGGTATTGGTCCTGATGTGGTTGCCGTGACACTCGAATTAACAGCACCAATGGTAGCAGTGCTCGTGGTTGTTGGTGCAGTCACTGTCTTAGGCTCTGATTTGGGAATGGAAGATGCTGCATGCAGTAGGAAGAAACGGTCAGTGCACACTGGTGGTGAGGATAATGATGATGTAGGTAGGCGTGATGATGCGATTTTTAGAGTTGTCAAATTAAGAATTGAACCATGGTAACATGACTCATACAACTATTAAAAACTAAGCTACTAAGAACAACTTCAAGATATCCCACTACCATAAAACTGATGATTCACGTTTACAAACTTTTTCCTCAGAATCGTGCGTTTATAAGAGGTCTAACAAAAGCGGATGGAGACGTAAAGTCGTCATCCAAAAGAAATACTGGACGAGAAACCTTTGAATGTGTCCGAAAAAGGATTGTTTGATCTCAGAATATGAAATGAAAACCAGCTGGACTAACCAAATTGTAGCGCTTTATGTGCAACGGTACGGTTGCTCATCATTATAGGTGTGCATTTACCAAGTTACACTAGAGGCGGATGCAAAACGTCACAGGCCAGTGCTCCTAAATGACTGCTGTTTGCGAATAGCGCAGTAACAGGGAAGGTTTCACGCACACAAAAAAAACTCGTCCGCAGATTCTTTACAAGTGTGGTTTTAGCACGTTCCCAGTCACGCTTTACGCCCTACAACTCCCCCCCCCCAAACA